CCCATATTCCTCTAAACCCTTCCTACTCATATTCCCATCCAGATGCCTTTTAAATGTTGTAATTGTACCAGCCTCTTCTACTTCCTCTGGCAGCTCATTTCATACACGCACCACCCTCTGTGTGAAAAAGTTACCCCTCAGGTCCCTTTTAAATCTTCCCCCTATCACCTTAAACCTATATCCTTTAGTTTTGGACTATGTATATTCACCCTATCTGCGCCCCTCATGATTTTATAAACCTCTATAAGGTCACCGGTCAGCCTTCGACACTCCAGGGAAAATTGCCCCAGCTTATTCAGCCTCTCCCTTTGGCACAAGCCCTCCAACTCTGGCAACAACCTTGTAAATCTTTTCTGAACCCTTTCAAGTTTCACAACATCCATTGAGTCACAGAGTCATACAGTATGGAAACCGGCCTTTTGGCTCAACTCATCCGTGCCAACCAAGTTTCCTAACCTGAACTAATCTCCATCTACCACTCCTCAGCTGATTGGCTTATGTGATCCAGATCCCATTGTATTCTTAGATAACTTTCTTCACTGTCCACTATACCACCAGTTTGGTGTTATCCACAAACTTACTAACCATGCATCCTATATTCTGAAATTGTTTTAATTATATATAATTAAAGCCTATAATTAAGAAAACTAAACAATACAAAATAAAACTGCTATTCCATTAATTTTCATGACAAAAAAATTAGCAATTTTTAATGACATATGTACAGAGGACTTGGGAGCAGGAGTAACCATTCAGCCTTTCGAGTCTGCCCTGCCGTTCAGTAAGACCATGGCTGCTTATGATCTCAATCCTGTTTCTTGTCTGGTCTGCCTCCCTTTACCGTTGACACATTTGCCTATTGAACAGCTATCTAACTCGACCTTGAGTAAAGTCAGTGACCTTCTGTCCATTGTTTTCTGGGGAAGAGAATTAAACAGACTAATAACCCTCTGAATAAAAAAAATCCCTTCTCCATTTTAAAAGTGAGCCCTCCAATTCTTCACCTATATCCACCAATCCTAGAGTCTCCTCCAGGAGGTAATACCTCTCAGAATTCAATCTTATCAAGTCCTCTCAGGATCTTGTTTACTTCAATGTTTGTTTAAGATTGTGTCTCATTCTTCTGAACTCCAATGGGTAAAAGCCATCTGTTCAATTTTATCTCCATAAGATAAGCTCTTCATCACTGAAATGTGTTGACTGAACCATCTCTGATCTGCTTCCAATACAATTGTAATTTTTTTCAGTTAAGAAGACCAAAATTGTACACTGTACTCCAGATATGATCTCACTGATGCCCTCTACATCTACAGTAAAATATTACTAGATTCATATTCAATTCTCCTTGCAATAAGCACCTTGTGCCTTCGTAATCACTCTTAGATGTTCTATGTTTTCTATGTGCCGTCCTAATCGTTCACTGTATTGCAAATTAACTTTTTGTGATTCATGTACTGGAACATCTGGATCCTTCTGTACCACTGGTTCTGCAGTCTGTCTTCAATTAAATAGTGTACTGCTTTTCTGTTTTTCCTGTCAAAGTATGCATTTGAGATTCCATTAGGCTTTTATTTTTAATAAATTGTCAGATGTAAATTTGTTAGGCCCCTTTTTCCTTTTACATTTCCTTATGTCATCCCCTTGAGATAAATTTCCAAGGACTTTTTGGGATTAGATGAAGCAGAAGGAATTTCCTGCTAATGTGACAGGTTATTGAATCTATGAATAAATTCAAACAATGGGAATGAAGAAGAGAAGGAGTTTCACACTCCTAAATAAATAAATTTACTTTCATTTTTATTCATTGTTAGACTGAAAGAAGAAAATAATACAAAATGAAAAACTGAGACTGTACAGTAAGATACAGTAACTGTAGATTATGCATTTTGGCAACACCTGGCTTTTATGTAACAATTGCATTGTTTATTCTTGAGTGCCATTAATCAATTGAAAATAGTGAACAAGTTTATGGAGTTTTGAGTTTTCAGTGCAGTCACATCTTTTTCTCAATCTTGGCTAGTCTTTTCAAATAAGTTCCCGGAAAATTAAATTTTCCATTGACTGTGTTAAGATACTTGCTAGCAGAAGTGAATGAATGCACTCTGGCTTTGCCCAATTGCCCCAACCAATGTCATAGATAAAATCATTGTGTGCGATCATCGGGTCAGTCGAATTTCAGCCTAATATGTTATACTTTTCTTTTTGATGAGTATGTAAATATTCTATTCAGCTATTCATGTATTTTAATGCACATACATGTTTTATGGTTGACAAGGGGAGGTGGTTGGTGGTAATTGTGTAGAGGGGGCTGTGTTCTTGGTTGACAGAGCAGGACGCTAAAAATCTTAATTAGACTGGCTCTGAGTGATGGGTGCAAGACAACAGGAACCAAGGAAAGTTGTGTAGTGTGCACTATGATTAATTCAAATCTTAGAATCTGTGACCTCAAACAGTCACCCCTACAACCCACTCTTCTATTTTCTGCCTCTTTTAGCATCAATCATATACGCTGTTAAACATATTAGCTCTTTATAATGATCCTGAGAAATTGTTAATCAGTACTGTGTTTTATTACAGTTTCTCTGGTCCAGTCAGAATGATTATGTTTCTAGAGGCAACATTTGGCTCATATTGTTTGACGATGGTATAGGACACCACAATGTAATTTATACAACAATTTTATTGTTTTTAGTGACCAATTTATTTTAAACCAAATTTTAAGATTAAAACTTAGTACAAGTCACAAATGTTAGTTATCATCTGTGTGATCAATTAAGTGCAATTGATCATCTAGGTAATGAACTAAATCGGTGGCACTCCTTTGCCACAATTTATCTTACTTGTTAACTTTATATGGGAAAAAAAAACTACTCTGACCAAATGTCATGTCTTGCGCACTTTGTGTAAACACTTCACAGTTGTTTGCATCTTATTCCAGGTCAATATGGGCAGGTAGCTGCCCCCTCACAACAATCAATGCTACTGCTGTCTAACTGGGGACTGCCCAAATCTGTTCTGGAGAAGTATCAGAGCATGGGAGTAGTGAGCATTTTTGAATGGCAAGCTGAGTGTCTTACTCAAAATCATGTGTTAGAGGGACGAAACTTGGTCTATTCAGGTAACTCAAGATTTTGTCATATTTAAGCTGATAGAAATAATTGCTTGATTGAAATACCTCCATTAAATCTCTTTTACACCTAAAGATATCTAACTCTATTTTGTGCAATATTACAGGTTAAAATCTCAATTATTTTCATTTTGCAGTTATATTTCTTAGAAAAAAAATTTTTGTTTTCTACTTCACTTTCTGTCAACTTTTAGTTACTACAAGCTGTGTGTTAATTCTTCTAATGGCTTTTTTTTGTGAGACAGAAGGTGTGAGGTGAGTTATTCTATTAGCAAGAAAGCCCTTTGAGGTTCTACCTGTCCCCAGTGCTTCAAAGGTGGGTCTGACTTAGTTGCTGCAGAATGCTTCGAGTAGTTGGACTGTTCCATGTTACCTATCCCTCATGGAAAAATTTTCAAAGGAAAATACTTTTGACTGTAAGTCCATCAGGCAGTGGTCAGCACATAACATCCTAAGACCTGCGAGAAAACAAGCGTATTCATCCTGTCATGTGGTTAGAGTCGTAGAGTCATAAAGGTCTTAAAGCATGGAAACTGGCCCTTCGACCCAACTTGCCCATGCCACCCAGTTTTCACAATTTAAACTTAGTTCCATATCCCTCCATACCAATCCTATCCACACTCAGCACACTGTTAAAGTCATTTGGCAGAATGAATCCTTGCCAGAACTTTCCAACAAGTACCAAAATGTAGCTTGGCTACATCAGATCATTCGGAGCAACAGATTCCTCATGTATGTCTGCAGTCTTTCCCACCGCATGCTGCCCTTGAAGCCGCTGCAGGAGGGAAGGCTATCACACATTTCCTTCTGGAATGTGTCTTTGTTAAGATGGCCTGGAGACAGCTGCAGTGTTTTTTTTTGTCAAGGTTAGTCCTGAGCAGCTCTGTCATACAGGACTTTGTGCTCTACTGGCTGGTTTCCAGGGCGCACACCAAGGTGAACATCAACTGCACCTGGAAGACCATCAACTCCACGAAAGATGCTCTTTGGTCTGCCTGAAGCTCCTTGGTCTTCAAATGCAAAGTGTTGACCTCAACCAAATGTTGCAGACTGACACATTCCAAGGTCCAGCACCTATGTGCTGGGGGAGGCACTAAAGCTTAGGGCAGCAGTTGCCAAGATGTAGTGGGTAAAGAACACTGTCTAAGATCTTTATGCCTAAATATGATGAAGGCCTGTTAAATTTAGAGATTCCCATGTTGCCTTCATGGGAATGTAAGTAGTTTCCTTACATGAATAGAAAATACCTTTCTTGTTGTTGCAATTGGACTTAGCTCTAATGAGGAATGTCAGACTCCGCTGTATTTTCTGCAAAGTCTATTTGGAACTGTTTTAGACCTTTGTACTTCTAGATATTTTATGAACAAGGTATAATTTTGCAATTTTAGAAAAAGAACTGCAAAAAATTCAAGATAATTGAAGAAACATTCAACATTCAAAATGCATTTGCAATAGAGGAATGTTGGAGACAGCACTTCTAAAAGCAGCATGCATTAATAGGTTACAGCATCAACTGGCTGGGTCTAGCTATATTGAGACTTCAGTTTGAACAGATTTTAAAGGAAACAAGTAAAGAGAAAAAGCTTCCTCAATCTCAGTAAAAGAGAAATACGAGTAGAAAGGAATTCTGATTTTGTCACTTGTCAACTGTCAAGATCCTGACATCTGTCAAATTAGTTATCTAAATGAGAAAGTGACTTTCCAAATTAACAGGGTAGGTGAAATAAATAATTAGGTGTACAAGTTACTCCTTGGACTTCAGCCATTTGATGATTCTTGATTAAGATCAGACAGATTTTTGCATTTCATGAAAGCATTTGGAAGAAAGATCCTAGTATTTGGCTATTCCATGTCCACTATATTTTCCATTTTCCTACTTAACTTTATAGTTGAGTTTTTCAAATGAGCCTTTGTGCCACTACCCCCACAGTCTGGATTGTTTGATTCCAGGTCTTGCATTGGAGGAGTTTTCTAAACAGTTGACAGAGGCAGATACTTTCTCTCTTGAATTTACAATAAGTTTGCTTGTGGAAGCTAAATTTTAATGAAAAATGTTCATGCTAAACAGTGGTTTGCATTTGGATCCAGTGTGCTGCTTAAATTAGCAAATGCAGTTAAGTTTTAGAAATCAGTTATGTTGAACAATATATGGATTTGATTGGAAAACATTGAGTGGCACGGTGGCTCAGTGGTTAGCACTGCTGCCTCACAGCCCCAGTGACACGGGTTCGATTGCGACCTCAGGCAACTGTCTGTGTGGAGTTCGCATGTTCTCCCCATGTCTGCATGGGTTTCCTCTGGGTGCTCCAGTTTCCTCCCAAATCCAATCCAAAGACGTGCAGGCTAGGTGGATTGGCCATCCTAAATTGCCCGTAGTGTTCAGGGATGTATAGATGAGGGGGATGGGTCTGGGTGGGATGCAGTGAGGGTTGGTGTGAGCTTGTTGGGCCGAAGGGCCTGTTTCCACACTGTAGGGATTCTATGAAATTGCGACTGTACTCTCATTGAAGTTGCGCAGAGAAAAGGGCGTGGTAGAGATGCGACCAAATCCTGGTATTTTGCTGTTGGCACAAAATAAATAAGCCCTCATTTTCTTTGTTGTAGCCCCTACCAGTGCCGGAAAGACACTCGTTGCAGAATTGCTCATTTTAAAAAGAGTTCTGGAAAACCGAAAGAAAGCATTGTTCATCTTGCCATTTGTTTCTGTGGCAAAGGAGAAAATGTATTACCTGCAGGTCAGTGCAGAATGAAGTTGGTGACAAATGTCAGAAAGTAAATTTAATTCAATGCAAATCTCAATTATATGATTACTGAAGGATTCATGTTGCATCAGTTGAATTGGCAATCTCAGTCAGCAGAGCCATGGGGATTTCATTGTGATGAATGAAAAATTTCACATCAATACAGTGTGGATTAGTTTTTAAAAAGCTGAAGGCTGAATAAAGAAAGGTTTGTTCTGCATTTGAACCTTCCGGAGCCTGTTCCATTTCCAAATATGAATGTCTCCTTCAAGCACCAAGATGTATGCAATGAGGTGGAAAGGGTAAAGTCATCACAGTTCCAAGAAACCAGGGGCTGCTGTCTCATTAGAGAGAGAGATGACTGGTGGTGGTTTAACCGGAGGATCACCATGCCTCAGGAGAGGAGAGACGTTGAGATGGAGAGTCCCTCATGGTAACCTCAGCTGGTGCAGGAATTGAACCCATGCTGTTGGCATCAGTCTGCATCACAAACCAAAATTCCAAATCATAGCTTTCTTAATCAATGGAATTTTCCAAATTGGAGATGAGTTAATCCAGTCACCTCATTTGAGAGAGTGGTTGGAGTTAAATTGTCAAACCGAATTGTCATCATTCTATAGAATCAAAGCAAAATACTGTGGATGTTGGAAATCAGAAACAAACACAGAATGCTGGAGAAACTCAGCAGGTCTGGCAGCATTAATGGAGGGAGAAACAGAGTTAACAGTTCAAATCCAATATGACCTCTTCAAACTGTTATAACATTCTATGAATGTTAGTAAAGTTTAATATTAAACTCTATTGATGCTGTACAGAATCATTTTTACTTTAGATTGTTACTTACAATCAGTTAGAGAAGAACTTAATCCACTCTCCATGGATGACCTGTTTGTTCAGATCAAATTGAAGCATGCATTTGGTTAGTCCTTAAAAAAAACATAAGAAACAGGAGCAGGAGTAGACCATTTTGTCCTTTGAACCCAATCTGCCATTCAGTGAGATCATGGCTGATCTTCTACTTCAACATTATTTTTCTGTACTATCCCTGTATTCTTTGATGCTTTAATATGTGAAAATTTATGACCTCAACCTTGAAAAACTGAGCCTCCACAGCCCTCTGAGGCAGAGATCTTCAAAGATTCACCTCCCTCTGTGTGGGGGGAAAAAAAATCCTTCTCTTCTCAGTTTAAAACTGCTGACCCTTATTTTGAGACCCTGTCCTATGGTTCTAGACTGCCCCAGCCATGGGGAAACATGCATCGACTCTGCTGATCCCTGAAAACATTCTGTATGTTTATTGTGTATGTAATCCCTTTGGTATCATCTAATCACACAATACACCTGCACTGTGATAGAATTGAAGGTAATGAGAGCAAGTTTGACTACTAATAAAGTCTGAAACCGAGAAGGATGGTGAGCTTAGGCTATGGCTAACATCACTAATTTGTGGATGTTACCAAAAATATGTGTAGTCATCACAAACTGGATATTTAAATCTTTATCTGCTCCTGTGATACCTGTTTACACCCTTTTAGGTGAACTTTGTAGAAATGACAATGAGAATATTATAATTTACTTCAGAACCCTGAGGATAGAGTGCAGAGAACAACCAGCCAGCTTTGGATACCTGATCATTGTGCAGTAACTCCTGCCGACAGTAGAAGTGTGATATTGACTGAGAACAGGATTGCTCACTGCTGTCCTCTGTTGTTGAACAGCTTGCTTGCACTCACTGTCTTAAGTTCATGAAAATGGCCACTAATTTGAGGTATTGGAGGGCTGCCAATGCTTGTGAAGGCTATGGAAAGTAATTGCCATTATGAGGGGAGGAACAAAGAAAAACAATTTTAGTACAATCAATCGGGGTAATGTCAGGATTGCTTTACCATGCCTTATAATCTGAGCAAAATTAATTTATGACGCTTCTCTCCTGCAATTGTTTGGAATATGTGGCTATATTAGTTTTCATTGTTGTCAGTCACTGAACAAACCAATAGCAGCATTGTTTGCGTAGGAGGAATGTATTGCTGATTTGGACAAAGAATTTTAATTATTTTGGTTCTGGAAGAGTAACAATTTCTTCATAACCTACTCAAGTAATTGCCAGTACTGAAGTGCCTCACCAGGAGATCACACGAGATGTGCCTGCTCGGGTGGATGTAAAAGATTGCACAGCCCTGTTTCGAAGAATAGCAGAGAAGATATCCCAGTTGTCCTTGTAAATATTACAACACTTCAGAAGTACTTCATTGACAGTGTTTTGACTACACTTAACACTTGTAACCTGTCAGCATATAATATTACTAATTGAAATTCCAGTTTTCTAATAAAACTTCCCTTGCACACAGACAGACAAACAGATAGGGAAATAGGTTATGGACAGAGCGGTAAACCAGGAAAGAGAGTTCCATTGCCTTTGTTCCTAGGTTTTGAGATGATCCTTGTAACATTTCTATTGGATAGCACATTGTTTCAGTCTTCTTATCCTGGATATTTTCACTGGGTTGGAAAGAGAGACAAGGTGGCTAATTCACTAAAGAAAGTCTCTGACTTATCAGTTTTAAGTCACAACATATAACAACTGTTTCAGGAAAGATAAACTGGATTTTTTCAGGTTTAAAGTGAGTTTTGACTGTAGAGAACAGAGATTGCTTCTGAGTTGGGAAAGAACCAAACACTTCTCTCTCCCTGTAAATTGTTTCCAGTTTGGTTCGCAGGTCACTGAACAGATTCGATCAGTTTTTGGCAGGCAGAACAGACTCTGTCATTGATAATTGGTCACTAGTTTGTAGACCAATCAACTTTCTGCTGCCAGCAAAATCTTTATCAGTACACCATCTCAGCGCCAAATCATCTGCAACTCAAACTCCAATTACTGATTGCAGCAACAGTTGTCTTCATGATGCTGCCCATAGGTTTCAGGTTACTTGTTTTAAAACTGCAGACATGGTTTTAAACGCTAACTCTTAAAACTTCTCTTTCTCATTTCAGTCCCAAGATTTTAAAAACACTAAATAAAAATTCATGGTCATTAATTCTGAATAGGAACAAAATGGATCTAAAACTGTTTTTGTATAATATTATATCACATCTCTTGGGACAGTGATGCTATGGAATTAAATGTTTTTTTATTTTTATTTCTGTTCATCTGTATTCCATAACAAGCCAACCTTAGCTGTAACTGAAGAGATAAAAATTCAACCATGGATATGTTTGGTCTCTGTCTCAGAACTTATTTCAAGAGGCTATGGTGAGAGTGGAAGGATATATGGGGAGCACATCACCTGCTGGGGGCTTTTCATCGCTGGATATAGCTGTGTGTACAATTGAGAAAGCAAATGGGCTCCTCAACCGAATTATTGAGGAGGATAAAATGGACCAGATTGGTGAGAGTCCAAAATATCTTTCTAATGTATTGTTATTATTTGTTTTTTTATTTTTCTTAAGTGAGGCTTGAATTTCAACTTGGACATAGTAGGAACTGCCGATGCTGGAGAATCTGAGATAATAAGATGTAGAGCTGGATGAACACAGCAGGCCAGGCAGCATCAGAGGAGCAGGAAAGCTGACGTTTTGGGTCTGGACCCTTCTGC